GTTTTCTTTTTCTTAAACTGATTAGAGCTTGTGGCAAACCTGCATCTAAGCAAGCCTGTTGGTGCCATTTCTCCAAGAGCATTTGCTCACTTTGTGTCTCTGTGTCACATTCTGGTGATTTTCACAACATTGAAAACTTTTCATTTTATTCAGTTGGTTATGGTGATCTCAGACCGGTGATCTCTGGTGTTACTATCGTAATTGTTTTTGGGGCACCGTGAACTGCACCCATATAGGACAGCACCCTTGATAAGGGTTGTGTGTGTTCTGACACCCACCCACCAACAGCTATTCCCCATCTCTCTCCCTCTGCTTGGCTTCTCTGTTCCCTGAGACACAACAATGTTGGAATTGGGCTAGTTAATAACCCTATTGTCTCCTCTGCGTCTTCAAGTGGAAGGAGCAGGCATACATCTCTCACCGTCAATCCAGAGCTAGAAACGCATAAGCTTAGTGCAGGAGGCTCGTCAAAAGCCGAGACAGGTTGAAAGCCAGGCTTCTTGCACAAAACAGTTAGCTAACTTGTGAATGCAAAGGAAAAGTTCTCGAAAGAAACTGCAGGTGTGAGCCAGTGAATGCACAGGTAGAAAAGTGAAAACAGCTTTATTGCCGATAGGGAGAAAGTTTGAGCACTCTGCATAGAAGATCAAAGCAGCCACAGCAATCCCTTTAGCCAAAGCTCAATCCAGAACAAGACCCTAACTCTTGAATTCTATGAAAACTGAAAGAGGTAAGGAAGCTACAGACGAATATTGGGAAGCTACATTGGTTCATGAGGTGTAAGGAGAGAAAGAAGCTGTCTCCAGAACATAAAAGTGAGAGAGGAAGCAGTGATTGCCATGGAGAAGCTGCAGGAAGTTCTCCAGAACATCGGGCTCGGATGATTCATGAAGGTGGCTACACTGAACGACCAATTTTCAACCTAAACAACCTTCTGTTGGAAGAAGATGCCATCTGGGGCTGTCATAGCTGGAGAGGAGAAGTCAGTGCCTGGCTTTAGAGGACAGGCTGACTCTTTAGTGAGGAGCTAATGCAACTGACGACTCTTAAGTTGAAGCCTATGCTCAGTGACCATTCCGAAAATCCGAAGGCCCTTGGGAATTCTACTACACTACTGTGTCTGTGCTCCGTAAATGGAACAACGAAGGCTGGATGACAGCCCCTCTGTGTACAACATGGTCTCCTGAAGCTTTTAAGCCCCCTCTTGAGACCTACTAGTCAGAAGAAAGATTGCTTTCACAAGATGACTGCTCATCGACAGGGCACCTAGTCACCCAAGAGCTCTGAGGGAGATGTGTAGAGATGAATGCTGATTGTATCCCTGCTAACACGATGTCCATTCTGCAGCCCATTGATCAAGGAATCATTTCAACTTTCACATCTTATTATTTAAGAAATACATTTTGCAAGGCTGCACCTGCCGTAGACAGCGATTTCTCTGGTGGATCCAGGCTAAATAAATCAAAAACCTTCTGGAAGGGTTCCACCATTCTAGTTGCCCACACATTCGTGATTCATGGGAAGAAGCATCAACATTCACAACAGTTTGGAGGAAGTTGATTCTAACCCTCATGGATGACTTTGAGGGGCTCAAGTGGAGGAAGTAACTGCAGATGAGGAGGAAATAGCAAGAGAACCAGAATTAGAAGTGAAGGTTAGCATTTTTTTTTTTTTTTTTAGCAATAAAGTATTTTTAAATTCAGATATGCACATTGTTTTGTTAGATGTAATGGTATTGTGCACTTGGGAGACTACAGCTGTAGTGTAAACATAACTTTTCGAAGCACTGGAAAGCCAAAACATTCACTTGACAGGCTCTATGGCAACATTTGCTTTATTGCCACGGTCTGGAGCTGAACCCACACAGTATGTCTGATGTACGCCTGTAGTCCTTTTATTTAATTTCTAGCTGCTCCAAATACCTCTCATTTGATGTTTTCCTCGGTCTCCCAGAACTCTTGTTGTTGCTCTTGGCTGTGCGCTCTGTTCCCATCACCTCACGCTGCTGCGTGTAAATGGATTCACCTCAGAACTGATGCATTTCAATCTTCACCTTTCAGGAAATGAATTCCAAATGATGATTTCAGGATCTAGTCTTTCAGGTCTTTTCTCTTTCCTAAAAGAAGGAGTGGAAGTGGGCCACAGATGTTTCGAAACCATTTTGAAGTGGTATTGCTAGCTTCCCACCTGTGGATGTGCGGCCCGAAGCTACAGGGGGGCTTTACCTGCCGCCTCTCAGTAGGAGAGATACATATGGGCTGTGAGGATGTAATATTATGTCAATACCGTAAACAGGTGAATGGTACAATAAAGACTTTGTTCTCTTTCTACTGACGAGGCATCATTTGGGGACATCCTGGCTGCATTTCACCTGCTACGTGGGAAGAAGGATCCGATACACGCCTCTGTGATGGTGGTCCTTGTAACTTCATGCATAATGTGGCCAGCGTTCCAAAGATAATGTGTGTGGTCCTTGTGTTGGATTTATCCTTGCTAATTATCATGACCATTTTCTATATTTTGGCTTAAGCTCATGTAAAAGCTAAGTAGTTCTCACATGCTTGAAAATACCTAGAGACTCTTAATATTTGGTCCTTCATGGCTTTCCTAGGATATGCAACAGAATTATAAGAGGGACACTCTGCTTCTGTTGTTATAAAACAGTTTAAGGAATAAATTTGTTTCTGAGGGAGGGAATAAGCAGAAACAAAAGGTGAACTCCTGTTCATAATCTAGAAAAGTCGAAGCCATTCGCAAAGCTCAGTGACACTTGATGTCTCAGAAGCCATCTCTACAAATAAGCCCCATCTTTCTCAGCTCTTATATTGTCACAGTCCGTTAGTCTTTCATTTATATTATGATATGTTGCTACAGTGATGACTTACACCTCAGCCCTCAGTTTGTAAATCTGCATAGAAACCTTTTGTCTAACGAGACAGAAAAATCGCTGTTTCTGAAATTAGAATTCCGGATGTAGTTAATACAGTAGGAAGAGAGAAACTAATCAAGCCTATATTTGAAGTCAAACCGTGTTTTGTAACATGTATTTAATGACATATTTTATAATTTTAATGACAAACCACTTGGGATATTTTATAAAAGCAGCCTCAACGAAGAATTTCTATGTGGGTATAACACACTAGTAAGAAATATCTTAGATTGTTCTAAAAAGAAATTAAATGATGATGCTGGGAATCAATTGAAATACTGTTCTAGTTAGAAGAGTAGATAATGCTAATAGCTTTTTTAGAAGTAACCTGGTTTATGGTATTTGTGGGGGTTTTTTGTTTTGTTTTGTTTCTTAATGTCTGAAAAGATTTAAAGAGTTATTTCTCAGTTTCAATACAAAGAATGAAATCTTGGCACTGAGAATTTCATGCAGTAGATTGGATGGTTTATTTTTATATTTTCTAATTCTCTTCTTTTTTGTGTGTAAGTAACCATCTTAGCTTAGGAAAAAAAAAAAACAACAATAAAACATCAACCCGTTTCCCTTTTTAGTTGATCTGGTACCATTGTTGACTTATTATCTTGTTGAATAGAATTCCCTTTCACTACTGCCTATTGTATGTTTTGAATGGAGCTATAATTTATATTCTATAAAGAAAGGTTTTAAGAAACATGTTTTGTTCCTTTAAGTGTATGCTCAAATTTTAGGGGGAATAGCAAACTAAGATCTTTTATTAAACAAAGAATGAAATGAACCAATTTAATATAATTTTAGACATTGTTGTTCTGATGCCATAATGAAGCTGAAAAAAAAGTTTTTGGTCTTTGTATAATAGAACATCAGTGCCTATGTTAGCCTAGCCAAATTAGATATAACCAAAATAATCTGTCACAGTCTAATTTTCTATGGTAAGGCTAGCCTGGCACATAACAATAAAATTGTAAGGCCATTTTGTTAGGCCTTGGAGGTGGGCATTCAATGAATACTTGTTGAATTTCTGAATGAATAAATATAAGGATAAATCATATTTTTATCTGGTAATAAAAATGTTGAGTCCATTAGTCTGGGTAGAATCTTGGATTTATTATTATTATTATTTAAAATTTGCTCATTAAAACTGAAAAGTATAAAAATGAACTCGTACAAAATTATCTTTATGTTAAGTTAAATAAAATATTCATAAACAATTTAAAATTTTCAGAATAAGTTTTTTCTAAAATTATTTCCTAAAATGTTTGTTGTGGTAGTTATGTACATTATTTTGAGAAGAAAAATGTTGCTATCATTAGGAGCTAAAATATAAACCAATTGTTACAACACATTTATATTTAATAATGTAGCAATTGTGCTCCTTTTCAGTGCTTGTCATGAGAATGATATGGGAGCTCTTGCACCATATATGAAAGTTGAAATATAGTGATTTTCCCCAAAATTATTGCCAGGTACTTTTATGCCTCCAGATTATGATAGTGTTGAGTAAGGGTTAGAATCACGAAATTGTAGAATTGCAGTGTTGGAAGGGTGTTTAAGTTTCTCTCCTCAAGATTCCCATCACTTTACAACTGAGGAAAGTGAGACTCACAAATGCAGAATGGGTCAAGCCAACAACATGAATGCTTTTAATTAGAATAATTGTTATTTTAAATAAATAAGTGGTTGTATTTATATAGTTTTAAGTAGGTAATGCTTTGTATACTGCCCTTGTCTTTTAGAGATCTTATGTACAATTGCTGTTCATTTTGGGGTTCTTGTGGCCTCTTTTCTCCTCCATGGAGTACTTCTTTCACTGATTTTAACAACTGTGTCTGTCTCTCCCAATAGGATGAAAATGTCCTTATAGGAGAGGCCTTGTCTTACGCTGTTTTGTACTTTTGTCCTCTCAATTCTAATCATGATGACTGTCACTGAGCAGATCTTCAAATATTTGGGGAACGGGTAGTGTCTCATAGCAATAAGGGAAAAATTAATAAGCACTCCAGTCATAAATCTTGATGTCTCTTCGGTATGTGATTAACAAGGATCCGTATGTGTCCCCTTTTTCTCCCCACAGTCTCCAAACGTCCACAACTACCCCGATATGGAAGCTGTTCCCCTGTTGCTAAATAATGTGAAAGGGGAGCCCGTGGAGGACTCGTTATCTGTAGATCACTTCCAGACACAAACTGAGCCAGTGGACTTGTCAATCAACAAAGCCAGGACATCCCCCACCGCCGTGTCATCCTCCCCGGTTTCCATGACAGCGTCCGCCTCCTCGCCTTCTTCAACTTCAACCTCTTCATCGTCTTCTAGTCGTCCAGCCTCCTCCCCGACCGTTATCACATCAGTATCTTCAGCATCATCTTCGTCAACAGTATTAACTCCAGGGCCCCTCGTAGCCTCCGCGTCCGGGGTGGGCGGCCAGCAGTTTCTGCACATCATTCATCCCGTCCCGCCTTCAAGTCCCATGAATTTACAGTCTAACAAACTGAGTCACGTTCACCGCATCCCCGTGGTGGTACAGTCGGTGCCTGTTGTCTACACAGCTGTGCGGTCACCTGGAAATGTGAACAACACTATCGTAGTGCCGCTTTTGGAGGATGGGAGAAGCCATGGCAAAGGTAAGGGGACCCAATGGAAGCCTTGATTTCTTTCAGAGTGAGGGGTAACTGTGCCTTTATTGAGTGAGCTGCCCCTGAATCGTGTGCAACACACCACATCCAAAGAGGTTCTGTGCACCACGCAGACGTGAGCCGATGAGCGCGGTCAACCGCGTGTTGGCATTGGTATTTGCTTCCGTGTTCTTCAGTCTATATTTTTACATATCGAGTCATTTAGTGTTGGAATTCAAATGTCTTCCTTTGCAAAATGCTGTTTGCCTTCAAAGGCTCAAACGGAAAGGATAATCTGTATTTAGCATAACTGCTTATAAGTTGAGTCGCCAGTAAAATAATTCTAAAATGAGGTGTTTGACTACAAAAGTCTCATGTAGCTTGAGGTCTTATCTTAGTGGAAGCTACTGTCATTTTAAATACTGATATGATTTGGTATGATGCAGTATTTCAAAATGCAATATTAAAATTCCCTTCCAGGATTTAGAAGGCAGGAAATGCTTTTCTACATAACTCTATTTAATAATACCTGGTTGCCTAATTTTGTATATAGCAGTTATGCAGTTGATCATGAAGTTGCTTTCCTACTTCTAAGCTCTTATTTTTTTTTTTCAGTTTTTACTAGAAGGAATTAAAGTAGCATCACGCTGTCGATTTGGTCTTCCTTTATCATGAATCTACAATATAAGCCATCCTTCTGTGGAAAAGGAAAATGCTCGTAATCATAGACTCGTTCCCTCTAAAACTAAACACGTAGGCATGTGTATTGTCTTCAGGGCCCAGAAATGATGAGGGTTTAAGATATGTTGTATTCCTTTTGCGTTGATATCGTATTACTACTGAGGCCCATCATTAAAATATGATTGATGAATACATAAACACATTGCCTTCTCATAAAATGCTAGTAAGCCTGGATTTTTATAATCCTATAAGGTAGGATTCAGTGCCTAGAAACAACAGTTGATTGTGAAGTTAGAGAGATTTTTGCAAACAGACTCTACAAAACTGCATCTGTCTTTGGCAAGTTATTGTCTTAGCTGCATTGAGTTTTTTCATAGCTCACGAAATGAATTGGACCTTCTTAGTATTACCAACTGAAAAATATCACCTGATTTACAGCACTAAGAGGTTTTAGTGTGCAGACTTGGGCTGTAGCGTTCTGTGCTTAATGTGGAGACCCCTGTCTTTTGTGCTGTTTCGGGCAAAGGCCTGAACTAGTCCCACCACCATCTGAGTGACCAAGTAGACGAAAAGGAGGTATGAAGTAGTCTTTGCTTGGATTTTCCTTTAGTTGAACCCTCTCTGATGTTACTAACACTTCTGATCAAAAGGAGCTAACTGATTTGAATAATAGCATAACTGAAGGCCACTTTATGTGATTTTATTAGGTTAGGTATTTATCTTTAGTAATTTAAAGATGTGTTCACAATTTTTTTAAGAATTAGGAATTAACAAAAAGCAAAAGTGGAAGCTTGCATATTGCATTACTTTATGTGTATATGTGTATACCACAGAATCCAGTCCTTGTACCACTCCCCTCAAGGGAGATACTGCTTTAATTGTGAAGATGATTGATGAAGATTTTAATGTTGTTCATGACTTTTTTTTTTTTTTTTTTTTACAATTTTGACATACTAATGAAGGCAACAAAAGAGATACCTCTTTTATTTGACATTATCCTTCTAAGGGAGAAGTTATTTTTATTTAAGGGGATTGATACTGAAAGTATATTGCCAAAATTTAATTTTCTGAAAACTATGTCTCTGCCGAAGAACTTTGTTACGACTCGTGCTATAATTTGCTCTCAAGTGTATTTGTTAGTTTCATGCCATGTTTTTTATTCAGCAGTTTTCTCTTGCCCAGAATAAAAATTGATATAATCATAAATCCCCTGGACTATGATATGGACATTTGGAGCATGAGAGTCAGAATCAGGAATCTGAGTTAGACTTAGTCCATTCACTTACAGTTTTGGACTGGGAAGTGTTATTCAAAGATTAAATGGGGATAATAACATGATCTATCCTTGAAGATTATTGAGGAAATTAAGTAAGAGCTTAATGTCTGGGTTAATCAACTATCAATAAAATGTTTGTAATTATTTTTTATCTCCTTCCCAAGGTACTTGAAGCAGTAATGTTCAGAAATTTTTTCTCTGTCGTATAAAAACAAAGTTGGAAGGAAAAAAACATACTGAATTTACAAATGAAAAACTGCTCCCAAGAAGTTAGTACAGAAATGCTTCTCAAAATTGTTACTACAAGTTATAAGGGATGAGAGTTTACTATGAGAAATTATCTGGAAACATCCCATATTTTCTATTTTTATTAGTTTGTATTATGTTTTTATAATCACCATATTATACAAATATTGCTATAGCATTTTATAAGTTTTTTTTTATTGTTTAACTGATTACTTAGATGATGGTAAAAGTGTCTAGTAGAGGAGGCCTGCCTACCTCACAGAATGAATAAAAGAAAGGGCATTTCGGTAATTCTTTAAGTCTTTATTTTGCACATGTGCTGCTGGGCACTGGGCCAACAATGAAATGGCTAAGTGATAAAGGGAGCCCCTATTCCATTCCCATGTTGGACTTGTATATCTGATATGGATAAGCAAAAGAAAATATGATAGGGGAGTTGGATTTTCAAAATGCTAACAATAAAATTATAAAACTAACCCATATAAACGCAGATGAATGTACTGGCTAATTATTTTTAAAGTTGTTATAACACATCTGGTCTCTGGTAGATAAATCGTTTACCTTATCTGTCATGTACATAAAAACCTGTGAACGTACTCATCCATGTTTTAAGATGACATATCATGTGAATTGAGTCATTTGTCCATTCAAGTCTTTATTGAGCATCTGTTATGTAGTGAGTATTTTATTGGTCCAAGGATACAGTGTTGAACAAAACAGATGCTGTTTCTATCTCAGGGTGCTCATAGTCTACTGGGAAGTATCGACATTAAACAAACAAACAAAAAAATCATATAATTAACTGATAATTGTGGACATTCTGTGTTTCAGTTGGATTAGAACATAGACTACGCATGGATTTTTGCCCAGGAGAGAGAGTTTAATTATAATTGCAGATGGAGAAAGTTGTATTTGATAAAAGTATTTTCACAGTGGGTATTATATATGGTTAGAAATGTTTCCACTGTGATGCTCGGGGGAGGTGGTTAGGGTTTGGGGATGAGGTAGGGTGAAATGTCCACGTGAGTATGCTTGACTAACGACAGAAGGAAGTGAGAAAACTTTCCAGTGAGGATAGAAACTCAGCCCATTCAAGTATTTGAAGAATATTGGTCTAAAGGAATGACAAGCTAGGTCTGTGCACTGACATATCTCAGTTTGGCCTTGAACGTGATATGTGATCTGAAGAAAACAGCAGGATACTCTGGACAAACACAACTTGAGCTAGAGCTACAAGAGGGAGGATGTCAGAGAAGGTCTCCCAAGGAAGACATTTTCCCTCTTGATACCAAAAGGACAAAGTGGCAGTTAGCCCCCAAAATGGTTGTGCTGAGAAATGGGAGCTCTCTATGTAGAGGGAACAGCCAATGGATTGATCTGGCCCGAGTTTTGTTGCTATGTCACCTGAGACACATTATTTATAAACAAGACCCTAAAGGGATTATTTGACCTTATAAAGGAGTTTCAGTCCAGCCTGGGGAAGTTTTTGGTAGGTTTCCCAGGAGATATTTTCATTAGTTTTTACAGATACTTAGTAGCAGAAAAGCGTAGGAGTTATAACAGATCACAAGCAAAGTTGTTCATGGTTTGTAATTGCCTGGATGAAAGCAAGTTTTGGGATCTCCCTCCCTCCCTTCCTTATTTCCCTCCTTCCCTTCTTCCTGTAGACATACTATATGCCAAGTAAAATTCTGAGAATTGAGGTTCTAAGATGAGCAAATGTCTACTGTAATGGCCTTACTTTCTAGTGTAAGAGGCAAAAGCAATTTATGGCAGATGGTCTAAGAGCTATAATGAAAAATAAGCCATGGTAAGGGAACGGGAAGTCAAAAGACAGGAGTGCAGTTTTAGGTACAATCTGGCCTACCTGAAATGTACGTTATGATAATAATACCTGGGGAAGACCTTTACAGAAAGAGAGAACTGCAAGTTCAAAGACCCTGAAGCATGGAGGGTGCATGGTTGGTGTGAGGAACAACTACAGGGCAGCTGGTGGAACAGGAGGGGAATGAGCGATGGCAGAGCAGTGGGATATGAGACCAGAGGGGTGAGTAGGACCGGATCATGTACGGCCTCAAAGAATTTGGTTACATTGTTTGTTTTTTTCCTATCTATGGTGGGAAGTCACTGAACTGGACCTTTGAGCAGGAAAGTGACATGACTACTTTTTACATTCTTCCTTTCACAAGAATCGCTGAATCACTGCTTCATGAGGACTGAGAATTGGGAATCTGGCAGGGTGCAGTTCACTGGTGACGGTGACAGTGTGTCAGTGGAGTCATGGGAACAAAGGACTGACTGAAGTGAGTTTGCGTTCAGCTGGGAGGTGAGGAGAGGAAGACCAAGAGTCTAGGAAGCTCTTTGGAATAACTCTGCAGGAAAGAGTCGTACAGAGAAATGGATGGCGGGAGAGCGTTTTAGGCTCTCAAGGGAAGGATTTAAAAAGAGGGAGATATTATAACCCATTTGTATGGTATCAAGAATAATCCAATAGAGAGCTGAAAGTGGGTAATTCTAGAGAGGAAAGAGCTGTAGAAGCAAAGTCTTTCATTGCACGTTCGTTGCTTATATGATACTGTGGAAGTAACCTACATTTCGCAGTAATTTATCGGAATTCTAAAGTCAACTTATCAGATTGACAAAGTTTTTAGGGGAAAAAAAAGAGACACGATGGAAATTAAAGGAAATACAAAAACAGCAGATAATCATCCAGGGTTGATAATGAAAAGCAAATAAATTAATGTTCAATAAAATTGGGTCCATTGAGAGTTATAAAAGTGCTACCAGAATTAATGTAAGATCAAAC